TCGCCCGCCGTGGCCTCGCCAGCCAGGCGGTCGGCGGTTTCGTTGCCGTCCAGCCCGGCATGGCCTGGCACCCACTGGAGCACCGTCTCGGTGCCGTTCTCGGCGAGGGTGCTCAGCACTCAGCAGCCTCCACACCTCGGCGGCCAGGGCCATGGTCTGGTTAGCTGGGCCGCGGCCGAGTAGTTGGAGCCCAGACCTTGAGTCGGTGAGGAGGCGGACCGACTTGGTCGATGCCAACTCCCCGTCCTCCAGGCCGGCCACAGCCGCGAACGCCTCGCGCATGGCGGTCAGTTCTGCTCTTAGGCTGGAGCAGACCGCCCCTGCAGGAGCGCGCACGGTCTCTTCTCTGTTGAGGTGGTGGAACTGGATCAGCGCCTGCGCCGCCCTGTTCCGTCCGCCGCGAGCCGAGCCGTCCGACCAGATAGTGACGTCCGGGTGCGGGAGCTCTGCAATGGCTCGCAGGGCAGCTTCCCTGCGGACTGCAGGCGGGTCCGACCGGCGGGTGGCCACGGGCAGGTCCACCCTGAAGGTGATGCCGCCGCGGTGGCCCAGCCATGGCGGGTCGCAGCTGTAGAACGCCGAACCTGTAACACAATAGAATTGCAATTGTAACAAAGACCTGCATGGTCAGCACACATCTGCAGTGACTGTCATCCCAAGTTGGTATGAATTGGCACAAAGTTGGGTCATGGTAGCAGACGTAGCACAAGCTGTTGTGATATGCCATACCGTAGGACTAGGTCGTAGGTTGTAAATTTTAGGTTTAAGGCTGTAGGTTGTAGGTCAGGTTAGGTAAGGTTTGGTTAGAAAGACCCATTCTCGTGCATCGGGCAGCTTGTGCTACATCTACCTGACCAATACCCAATTTGGATTCCCAAAATTGATGGCAAACAGGCTTTTTGTATAACAAGTGTGGTTAATTGTTCTAATCCCCGCTGCAATGTGAGGGTAACTGCTTTTCTACAATCACAAAATTTGAATTCATATAGGTAGGTGTTTACATGTTCAGAAAATGATACAAAATATGACACAATTAATTATAGCTGCAACTGGATAGTGGATACCAACCTCAACTGAAAGTTTCTGCAGCCTTATAACCTAACAAATGACTAAATTGCCAAAATAAATCCCTTAGTACAATAGCTTGACTCTAAAATAACAGAAATTTTGCATGCAGACCCTGAAATGGAGGGTTTATGAAAAGTAACAAAAATAAACATTCACTAATATCAATTTTTTTTATGTTGTTATAAATTTCATATGTAGCATAAGCGCCAATACTGCCTTCATTTACAATGTTGCTACTGTTTTCCACTCACAAACGCTGCCCTCCGTGGACAGCAGCAGCAGCAGTGAAACGTCACCCGTGGTGTGACATCATCACCCATGACGTAATGGAAATCCAGTTGTTACCAAGGCCCAAATTTTCAGTCCATACGCGTTTTCAAATATCTAAAAAGTGGCAGCTTTATTCAAGAGGTTTAAATAAAAATGCGACACAACTTTGGAAACAAAATAGAGCACAGACTTACGAAACCTTGAAATGGGAGCGAGCACCACGGAAATATCGAAAGGTGATGGACATGTACTGACTTTGGTCATTCGAGTACCACCAACACCATACAAAAACCATATAATATCATCAAGACTGATTCTGGAATCGATTTGTCCGGGTATTTAAAACACACAAAAAATGTTTGTTACCGAATTCTGAAACAGTATAAGGATATTCTTGTTCCTTACTTTTACCTTGTGGAGTACTTTTACTTGCTTTCTAGTGCGCCCATCACTATCTTGAAATCTGGATTGCAACGCTGTAGGAAAACTTTTTTTCATTTGTCATTTCTTCCACTTTTGAGCAGTGATAATTTATTTGGTTTTATACATTAAATAATGAAGACGGCTCCTAACTTTTTAGGGATCTGCAGTGGCCCAGAGAGCAAAATCAGATATTTTCTAAAAACTTGAGGCCACTATTTCCTTAAATGCTAGAAAATATACAAATATTGACATTAAAAGAATGATACGGGTATATAATTCTGCAGAAATATAAATTCAAAGTATTTAAATTATTCAAGAACCTTTTTAAAATCTTCCATAATGACTTCTTTCAATACAAGCTGGATGCAATTTCAATCAATAAAGCAGCACAAGGCAGTACATTGAGCTACGATGATCCATAACCAATCGGCACCTGCAATTTGATTGATCTTCGAGATGTACCCTGCCCCTGTTCCCTGACTTTCCCTTTTCGTTGTACCGGGTGAAGTGAATATTCTGTGAATATTCTTCTGACAGTCAGTTTTTAGTCCTACATTATGTTGTCAATCAGATTTAATTGGTTCAAAAACCGTCGTAGTCCGTCTCATTCGCAGTCTACATCTCCACATGCGCACCCATACATGCCCAAAATTTTCACTACGTATGTACTATGTACCCTGCAGCGTATCCTGATGAAAAATGTTTTGTTGAAATCATAGACACTTCCCAAGGTAGGCCATAGTCCATGGCCATATATTTAAGTCAAAACAGATAAAACAGATAAACACAATTCCAATCATCAAGTCAACCAGCATCGACAATCTGCACATAAGTTCTAAACCTATTGTAAGACTACTTTGTATTCAAACTTTGTATTGCAGAAGGGTGGAAGCTGCATGGAATTATGCGACAATTTTAGCGTGCATCCACGCTCGAAAGAGCAGGGTTAATTGTAACAATGTCAATACCATAACAATAACGTAATTGTAGGTGTTGTGATTCGGTTGTTTCTTGTCTGTGCTGGCCATTGCGCGGGCGGTCCAGCGGCGGAACTCGGCTTCGCCGCCGTGGCGCGCTGGCAGTTGCTTCTTCTTCTTCTTCTGCATCCCATCGCCAACCCGCTCAGGGGGGCGGCGGCGCAGGCGGGTCGAGCGGCGGCTCGGTCCGCCCAACATCCTCGATGAAGGTGACGACCTTCGTCGCCGGGCCGCCGAGGACGTCGACCAGGCGAGGGTCGGCACCCGAGCGGCGGCGGCGGGCCGCCTCATAGGCCGGACAATCGGTCAGTAGGTGCGCCGCGCTGTCGGGCTCCCCGCACGCGGGGCATTCGTCGTCGGCTTCCGGGCCAATCTTGTGGAGCGTGTCACGGGTCAGCGGTGATGTGCCGGTCCTCAGCTGGGACAGCGTCACCGACCCCAGCGCGCCAGGGAGTCGTGGCCAGGCGTGGGGTCCGGGTGCGGGTGGGCAGCGGTTGCCCTCTGTCGCGACAGCTCCCGGACATGGCGCGTGACGGCGGCTCGCGCACTCGACAGGTCGATCGGTGCGCTGTCTTGGTCGCCCGCCGTGGCCTCGCCAGCCAGGCGGTCGGCGGTTTCGTTGCCGTCCAGCCCGGCATGGCCTGGCACCCACTGGAGCACCGTCTCGGTGCCGTTCTCGGCGAGGGTGCTCAGCACTCAGCAGCCTCCACACCTCGGCGGCCAGGGCCATGGTCTGGTTAGCTGGGCCGCGGCCGAGTAGTTGGAGCCCAGACCTTGAGTCGGTGAGGAGGCGGACCGACTTGGTCGATGCCAACTCCCCGTCCTCCAGGCCGGCCACAGCCGCGAACGCCTCGCGCATGGCGGTCAGTTCTGCTCTTAGGCTGGAGCAGACCGCCCCTGCAGGAGCGCGCACGGTCTCTTCTCTGTTGAGGTGGTGGAACTGGATCAGCGCCTGCGCCGCCCTGTTCCGTCCGCCGCGAGCCGAGCCGTCCGACCAGATAGTGACGTCCGGGTGCGGGAGCTCTGCAATGGCTCGCAGGGCAGCTTCCCTGCGGACTGCAGGCGGGTCCGACCGGCGGGTGGCCACGGGCAGGTCCACCCTGAAGGTGATGCCGCCGCGGTGGCCCAGCCATGGCGGGTCGCAGCTGTAGAACGCCGAACCTGTAACACAATAGAATTGCAATTGTAACAAAGACCTGCATGGTCAGCACACATCTGCAGTGACTGTCATCCCAAGTTGGTATGAATTGGCACAAAGTTGGGTCATGGTAGCAGACGTAGCACAAGCTGTTGTGATATGCCATACCGTAGGACTAGGTCGTAGGTTGTAAATTTTAGGTTTAAGGCTGTAGGTTGTAGGTCAGGTTAGGTAAGGTTTGGTTAGAAAGACCCATTCTCGTGCATCGGGCAGCTTGTGCTACATCTACCTGACCAATACCCAATTTGGATTCCCAAAATTGATGGCAAACAGGCTTTTTGTATAACAAGTGTGGTTAATTGTTCTAATCCCCGCTGCAATGTGAGGGTAACTGCTTTTCTACAATCACAAAATTTGAATTCATATAGGTAGGTGTTTACATGTTCAGAAAATGATACAAAATATGACACAATTAATTATAGCTGCAACTGGATAGTGGATACCAACCTCAACTGAAAGTTTCTGCAGCCTTATAACCTAACAAATGACTAAATTGCCAAAATAAATCCCTTAGTACAATAGCTTGACTCTAAAATAACAGAAATTTTGCATGCAGACCCTGAAATGGAGGGTTTATGAAAAGTAACAAAAATAAACATTCACTAATATCAATTTTTTTTATGTTGTTATAAATTTCATATGTAGCATAAGCGCCAATACTGCCTTCATTTACAATGTTGCTACTGTTTTCCACTCACAAACGCTGCCCTCCGTGGACAGCAGCAGCAGCAGTGAAACGTCACCCGTGGTGTGACATCATCACCCATGACGTAATGGAAATCCAGTTGTTACCAAGGCCCAAATTTTCAGTCCATACGCGTTTTCAAATATCTAAAAAGTGGCAGCTTTATTCAAGAGGTTTAAATAAAAATGCGACACAACTTTGGAAACAAAATAGAGCACAGACTTACGAAACCTTGAGATTAACTTTGCATTTATTTATTTTTTAACGAAAATTGCTTTATAAACTTAATCATAAATGTGAATCATTTTAGGAAATGTAAAATTCTACAAATAAGGTTGGAGCTGCTTCATTAATGGCGCAGCTGATACATAAGCAGGTTGAACCATAGGTTGAACAATTTCCTAAATCAAAATGTATACATTTGAGGTGTAAACTTGAACTGTAAAAAGAGAGGCTCTTTTCTACAAAATTGGTTATTTCCGCAAATGGTGTAGCGAGTGCTGAATGAAGTAGCAAGATTATATCATCAGTAGCTATTACTGCCTCTTGATACGACCTTCACTCTGACTCAGCTTGAAATATTTGTTGTCCATCCGGGTGTCAGTAAAACAAAAAACACATTTCAATTTCAAGTCATCGGCAGATTGAGATATTTTTTTGAACGAATGCTGCTGTTCTACACTACAAACTAGTGCCACAATTACTAGTTGATGTTTTGGTAACTTTTCTTCCTTGTTGAAAGCTATAAGCACCAGTTTCAAGTTTCAGTATGTATGTTCGGAAGGGATCACAAGCTTTGACCCTGTGTCGACTCCTTGGCACCAAGTTCTTAAGAACATCTGAAAGATATTTGGGAAGTTCAGTTACAATGAATAACAAGAAAGCCTGGGACATTCCAGAAAGGGATTTGGTTTTGAGAAGGTCAGAGAAGGGTAGTGTTGTATTGGACATTGCGAAAGTCAAGAGGGAGCCATTTTTGAAAGGACTGTTTCAAGACAAATATGATAAAGAGATGCTAGCATTTCCTGAGGTGTTGAACAAAGAACAAGTGGATGATTTGGATCATAAGCTGTTGTCACTTGGCTATAGGGATGGTGAGAATATCTTGTTTTCAATTTTTCTATAAAATGATTTATTGATAATTGAAGAGTATATTTTGTTCCTAAAATTACACTGTTATTTGAGTGATTTGAGAGTTGCAATTAATCAGTTGAATTACATTTGTACTGGTAATAGTCATCAAGGCCATTAGAATTATAAAGTTTTTTATATTTCATATCACTTATGCCAGAATACACATTCCATTCAGATCCTCCATGTCAGTTCGCTGTCATGTGGTCACAGTCTGGATTACAGCAGCATAGGCAACAATCAGAGCAGAAAAGTTACTGAAGGTTTTATCATTTTGAATGTTTTGTTTGATTGGGGCTATTTGACCCCAATCAAACAACCTCCCAATGTAAATCTAATCAATCAACCTCCCATTTAAATAGGTACTCAATTTCAAAGTTCATGTTCTTTTAACATCAATGATGCATTTTAAACTAACAAAAGATGAAATGTTGTAACTTCTTAGCTCTTGGACATGAACCATGGTTATTGCTTGCAAACAAGGTGATCTATGTGCATTTTTATGTGCACAGAGAGTATCAACTTACTAGTCTATTGGTTCTGTTGGCAGAAACTTTCCAGGATGATCCAGCTCCTGAAACCCTGAAGCTGGGAGGAGTGTTTGGACTGGAAGTCCCTGATGAGTATGGTGGACTTGGGTACACCATGACTGAGGCTGCCAGAGTGCTGGAGGCGATGGCCAGCACCAGCCACTTTCAAACCACTCTGGTACACAACTTTCTGGTACAGGTGAGTCTTGTTGGTTAACCCTCGCGGGCCGGGGGGGGGGGCGTTTTTCGCCACCCCCCCGGGCGAATATTTGCGATAGCTCCCGAACGCTTAGGGATAGGAAAGCGAAACTTTCAGTACCTTTTCTCCCATCAATTTGACATCTTCTGAAGTAAAAAATTTGGACCTAGACCCCTTGATGACGTCACAAGGTCCATTTTTCTAGACCCCTGCACGGCAAACTTCGGCGTCACAGACGCAAACTTCAAATAGCTGCTAAAAATAGTTTTAGAGATAAAGACAAATTACGAGCACGGCTGTGTAGCGTTTGACCTAGAGAAAAATGGAAAAATAGTTTTGGTGACCTGAGGTCAGAGGTCAGGTCAACGACCACGAATTGTGGTTTTAGTTTTTCGCAAATAACTTCGACAAAAATGGTCCTAGAGCTACGGTAGTGGCACCATCGCATTAGCCTTGTCAAGCCGCGTCGAATGATATATATTTTGTTCGGAAAAGGTCACGTTTTATATTGACCTCATGTGGCCTCGAATGACCTCTGGTTGACCTTGACACATGAAAGGTCGTTTATGATGGATTTGTATGTACCCGCTGATCACGAATCTGGCATCCATTTTCCTCTAAACCTTCATTTAGAGCTTCCGGATGGCAAAATTGTCTTATTTATTATCACTAACTTGAATCAGTGAAATAGCCTCTAGCAGGGATACTCTTCTGTGACCTTGACCTTTGAGCAGCCTTGTATCGTAAGATGAAGCACAAATAGGGAACTGATAAGCCTCAAAATATATCCAAACATCTTGGAAGTTAGCACGTAAGATTTGCGAAAAAGTGCCAAGTTTGAGGTCAATTTTGAGCGTGACCTTGACCTTGACCTTTGATTTTGAGCACATTTTCGGAATCTTCAGATCCTCTTCTTTTGTTTGACACCCAATTTTGCCGGTTTAATGCAGCCTGCCGTCCTCTAGAAGGCTTACTTTGAGATCACTACACATGTGCCGGTTTTTGCCTTTGACCTTGCCCTCTGACCTTGAAAATTGACCTGAGGTCAAAAATTTTAGGTGCTTCAGAATCGTCTCGTCAGGACCTTTCGTTTGGTATCGCTTTTGTTTCCGTAGCTCCCTTATTAACGGAGTTAGACAGGGGGAGGCGAAAAACGCCCCCCCCCCCGGGCTGCGGTGGTTGGGATTACCCCCTGGGCCCGGCCGGGTTAAGGATCCAAGTGTTTTTTTTTTGTCATGACTCCTTACCCTGCAGTTTTTCATTTTTAGGGACATTTCATTCATGTTCAGCAGTTGTTTCAAAACAGCTGTATTTTGTCTGTAGCCATGTAATAAAAATCAATTACACTGCTTATATACCTGGCCTGAGTATCAGATCTATAGCAGCCAGCTATGCTTTTTCACCTATTTATTTTGATATTTTAGATATTTGTGAACCAGTGGGCTTCCCTGCTAACAGCTGGTTCTTTTTACTGCACTGCCTGTTGTCTTTAATGCTTCCACTGAAACTACCCTGTCCTTTATTTTTTCTTGGGGTGCACTGCAGCACCATGTGCTCCATGTGACATTGCTCTGCTTCTGTTAGAGAGTCGTCTTAGAAGAATCATCATCCTGTTTTCCTGCTCCTCAGGCCCTGTATCTAGTCTTAGAAAGTCATCCTGGACCCCTCACCCTACCACCCTCTGTGTGGCAGGCTCTGAACTGTCTCATCCACCCCCTCACCCTTCACTCTGCCCTCTCTCTCTCTCGCATGCACCGTCTGCCCTTACAGTGCTGCCCCTCATCCCACCATGCACCCTTAATGGCAGGCACTGTCTCAGCACCTCTCACACCCTGTCACCCTGTTCTATCCACTCTATGACAGGCCCTGCTGCAGTCTGGCTCGGACGAGCAGAAGCGGCGCCTGCTGCCGGGCCTGGCCTCCGGTGAGGTGACGGCCGCCTTCTGCTGCTCGGAGCAGACCGCCTCCTCCGACCTCTCCGGGCTGAGGTGCACGGCGCGCCCCGACGGGGAGGTGGGCTCTGACCAGGGTCACCTGCTGCTCAATGGGACCAAGGTGGGCGTGGCGCGTGCCCGCTCTGCCGACCTGCTGCTGGTCATCGCCAACACGCAGGTGAGGGCTGCTGGGGACGGGGAGAGAGGCTTTCGAGTGTGTTCAGATGAGGGGACGCGGGGAGCGACGGTGGGGTCTTGAGGGGGACTGGGAGAGGCGGTGTGGTGTTCATTGTTCAGTGCAATCTTGGGAGCAATGTGAGGTGCATAGATTAGGCGGGAGGCAGGGGTGTCGTTTTCCGAAAATGATTGGTAGTGCCCAAAGGCGGCGGCTGGCCATATATGATGGGGCTTACAAGGTAGGGTACCCCCAAATCTGCCTTTCTCATCGGATTTCGGCCACTTATTTTTCGCCCTGGTCATTGACAAGACTAACCGAAATCTAAAAAAAACACACAAAAAATAACTTTGGAAATCTGGGTCCACACCGGACGCCATGCACAAAACGTGCAGTTATATAGGCAATAGTGTCGGAGGAATGCACGCCATTCTGAAAGAAGCCCACATCGACTTAAAAGGACGGCTGTGCTGAAAGGGGACAGGAACAGCTTTGAGGGCCCAAGCCGACTAAAAAAGACGGCTGCGGGGCCAGGAACGGTTTTGAAGACCCACGCCAATTGAAGGGTTCGACAACTAACGAGGACTGGAAACACAACGATAGTTAGAAAGACCTGCTTGCCAAAATAAAAGGATGACAGTACGAGGGGCGTTCAGAAAGCTACGGGCCCGACCATGAAGGAGCAGAGAGATACAGCATTGACTCATTAGACCAAAAAGTTCATTTATTCAAATAAACACCGTTAAGACAAACACATTTCGCGCAGCGTTTCGCGAGAGCCCTCAAGGCCTCCATAACCAAGTGGGTTTTGGACCCATCCTGCACGTCCAAGACGGCTGATTTCGTCTCCCTGCTGTTAGCGAGGTTGCTGCTGCTAATTTTCTTATGTTGGGGAAGAGGTGGCAACCACTAACCAGTGTGTGCAAGGTTCGGAGAGAAAAAAGTGGATGCGACAACAACTCCTGTTCGTCATCCCGCCCATGTACGCAGGTGCGTGGTCGCGGATCAGGTGCACACTTTACGTCAGCTTCCCTATAGCCTCTCCTCGATGTTTATCGAATGGACGCACATCATCAATTGTGTGCCCCTGTTTTGGAAAGTTGACGAGCGGAGGGGGGTCGCATCGACCCCTCCCCCTGCCAGGCCGTGTTATGAAAAATGCCCAGGGCGAGGGTTAACGCTTGGTGCCTTTTCTGCACTAACTACTGTGAAACGAATCACTGCTCTCTTCTGGGCGTCGCCCATCCTATCCGAAATGGCGAACTATGCTACGAATAGAATCCCGAATCAATCACAGAAGAGACTTAATTAATGGCCACTTACTTAATTTGCGTAAGTGGACATCCCAATAACACATCATTTAACACACCGCCTTGCAGGCCAAAATTCCAACTTCTTCATTGTTCGGCCCGAAACTTTTTGAACGCCCCTCGTAGTTACGAGCTTCAGTTTTCGGGGTCTGATGCGGTAATGACCTGGCGTTGAACCCTGGGGAATCAGGCTGCATCACCCACTCAAATCAATATACCTATGGCCTATTCTGGAGCACCGCGGCACCTTCCGAAGTCGGTGTAGGGCCTCCAGCGGCTGGTGTGGAGACGGATCGGGGTCTATTAGGGGCGGTCGCGTGGTATGCGGGACTCAGAGGCAGTTATGGACCTCTATAACCAATTGCGTTTTCGAGCCTCTTAAAATCCATTAAGGACCGGAGTCCTAGACACGTGAAACCTCATTGTCAGCTACATGCACCTACTGTGGCTAGAACCTTATTTATGTACTTGCATATGTGCTTATTTAATATTTGCTTATCTGTTTATTTTGATTTTTTATCAACTGATAAGTGACAAAAGATTGGTAGGGCTCAGCGAACATTGGTAGGGCCCAAATAAACATCGGTAAGGCTCGGGCCCTACCAGGCCTATACAAAACGACGCCCCTGACTATTGTGAAACTTGGTAGGTAGGTAGGTAGGTAGGTGGGTACCACATAACTTGAAATTACTTGACGTAATGACATGATGTGGAAAGTGAAAATGATACCTAGGTATTGATGGAAATTTATGGACTTAGGTACGCTACAAGAAGATTGAATTGGTCAACCAATTCAAATTCAATCTACTTGTGGAGTAAGTCTACAGATTTTCATCAATAGTTACCACCTACCATTGAAGTTACTTGCTATCATGTTGATTTTATACATGAGAACCTCATTCATTTTATTTGTATGACATGTTTGAATGCAATTTTCTCAATAAGTGAAGAAAAATGTTGGTAGTGCTCAACAACACATTGGTAGTGCTCAGCTGAACATTGGTAGTGCTCGGGCACTCCCAGGCCTACACAAAACGACGCCCCTGGCGGGAGGTGACACTAAATGTGACGTGGTGTGATGGGGTAATGACGTATTACCGGCGAATGCGATGACGATCTTTCATTCAGATGGCGCCACCGTCATATAGAACTCCGACCCGAATGTTGTGCTCAGCATTTCATGCTAGAACCGAGGCATAGATTCACACACTAGCGGCCTATTTAGATCATAATGCGATGAACAGCCCAATTTGCTTTGTGCTTTTTCGATCACTAGTTATTGTGGTGTACCCGTGATCCAGTCAGTGGCGGAATCGTGACACACGAAACGGGTTTGCCTCCGAGTAAAAAAAAAAAGTTATGAAACGTTGAATGTCGCTGTGCCCACAGGACCGGGACCACCTGGGTAACCAGTTTGACCTGCTGTCGGCGCTGGTGGTGGATAAGTCGGCCGGCGGCATCACCTACAAGTCCTGCGACCCCGGACTCGGTGCCGACCTCTGTGATGTGAGTCAGTTGTGTGACAGGTGATACAGCCAGTCACTGGTGCTGATGAGGTGCTGAAGATACACAGCTGCTGATATGTTTTTTCCTTACTTGGGGTAATTTAGTAGTCGTGAGATGTGATATAGTTATAGCAGTGAAATATGTCTTGCATTTCACATTTTATCACAATAGGTATCTCGCTATTTTTTCATTTCATCCCACATTTAATTGTGTGTTCTATGATGCTCATGGCTAACGTTTGCGATTTGGTCGTGTTCTCAGGTGGAGTTCAAAAACACGCCCGTTACCGCTGATAATGTGATCGGCGCGGTGGGCTCCGGGCACTCGGTGCTGCTGGGAGTTCTGAACCACATACGCAGCCTGTACCCGGCTCAGCTAGTTGGTAAGTACTGAATACATCTTCAACTCATGCTCCGTTTCGCTGGCTCGACTGCTTACTTTTGCTGGTTTTATATATTAGGTCGTTCAATAAGTAATGAACAATCGGTCATAACTTCTTCATTTCTTTATTTAACACTTTCAAACTTTCACAGATTATAGAAAAGATGTCTCTGAATGCAGCCTATGCTTCAAACAGGTACCCGCCCGCCTGCACACACTTCTTCCAGCGTTCCGGCCAACGCCGGAATCCCGCCCGGAAAAACGCCTTTTCCGTCTTTTTCACCCAGTTCTTGACAGCGCACATGACTTCAGCGTCGGTCTCGAAGTGCTCACCACGGAGGCCATCCTTCAGGGGACCAAAGAGGTGAAAATCTGAAGGAGCCAGGTCCGGACTGTAGGGCGGCTGTGGCATGACATTCCAGCCCTGTCTCGCGATCTCTTCGCGCGTGGCGTGAGGCATGTGCGGTCGGGCGTTGTCATGGTGAATGGTGATGTTGTTGACATCCAAGCCGGGCCTCTTCTTCAGGGTTGCTTGTCTCAGTCTCCTCAGGACTATGATGTAGCGGTCGCTGTTCATAGTCCGCCCAGGTTCAAGAAAGTCCACCAGGATGACACCATCCTGGTGGGTGACCATAATCTTCCCAGCGGAGGTGGAACTTTTCACCTTCTTCGGTGCCGGTGATCCCGGGTGTGTCCATTCCATGGACTGGCGCCTGGTCTCGGGCTGGTAATGGTGGATCCATGATTCGTCCCCGGTTACCGTTCCTCTGAAAAACTCTTCTCCAGCGTCCCTGTATGCACGGAGAAGGTCACTGCAGATGTCACGGCGGGCGTCTTTCTGCTCCTGCGTCAGCAGTTTAGGGACCCACCTTGCACAGACTTTCCGGTAGTTCAGTTGGTTGATGATGCTGACAATGGTTCCAGTTGAGCAACCAACTTGCGTAGCCAAATCCCGCACCCGGATTCGACGGTTCTGTTGAATCAGTCTGTTGACTTTTTCAACTGCTTCAGGAGTTGAAGCACTTGCAAGGCCTTCCAGACCTTGGCTTGTCGCTGGTGCTGTCATTTCCATTACGAAACCTCAAAGCCCATCTCCTGTCAGAGGAAATAGCCATGGTTTCTTCTTGATACACACCACGGAGCTTGTCATGGATTTTTGTTGGAGAAACTTCACCGAGTTTAACCAGAAATTCAATGACGGCGCGTTGTTTCAGTGTTGAATCCATGATCCCGACTGCTTTCCGTAAATTTAAAACAGAAACTCCAAATGCTTAAAAAGTTCAGCGAAGTTGTGACAAGCGCGTGACTTTGGGCAAAAAACGAAGAGGTACGTTTTGTAGAGAATTTCTTGAAGATTCCCGTGCTTTTTTTGGTATCGCGCTAGCGTCAAAAATGTCGAAGTTACATGCCATTGATCATTACTTATTGAACGACCATAGACCCCTTTAAACATGGACTGTGCACTGGCTTAGCCTAATCGACATTTGAGGCAAAATTTTGCCTCCTATGTAAACAATGAATCTAGCATTACATTCGATTCGGTGCTTTTTGTTGCGCTTTAGATATTTCATAATCACAATAGCTTTAAAAGAAACGCAACTAACTTATTCTAAGGGACATGGCCAACGGAGAGGTCAGGGCGAGGGGGGCGACCCCTGCACTTTAATGATCGGGGATCGACTCCCGCATAAAGTTGCGTTTTCCTCGAAACTTGACGCTTAGTTAAACACCCCACCTTTCAAACGAAAACTATCAAATAATGCTGCGAGTAGTTTATTTTGTATTGTGCAAAAATACACATGCATGCCTTCCTATTTACTTCTCTCAGTAGTTTCCCACCCAACTCTGACCCGAAGTCTGGATGTAGGTACCTGAGAACCTGAGATCAGGTACCGGAGAACGTAGGCGTTCAAATGTTCACTCATTTCGATCCAGTCAGCTTTCGGATCTTGTCGGAATCCGAGTTTCTTCGACCAGCGCGTCCCTGTGCTTGCTTTGGCCTCTTTTCGGCGTGTGCTAGGCTGTTCAGGTCCTTGGCATGATTGGAGACGCAAGCGTTGAACAGCGCCCCCGCCATGGTGGGCAAGATGAGTTTGCTGAGTTTGTGACCAGCCGCGCACTCCAGCTGGGAGCCTTCTTTTTCTTCCAAGAGGTTCAGCGAGATCTCCTTAAACACTCTCCTGGGGTTTGTGCACCCAAACAAAATGGCGCGGGTTTTAGCCTCAACTCTCAGGGACCTGAAGATGGAGCATATGTCCTCAGTGATTTTGAGACAAGTGGCAGATGGCTGGAGCCGGATGTCCGAGTGCCGCCGGTCGGTTGAGTTCTGTCGAGGCGAACTCGCGGAACGAGCGCCGCCTGGCCTCCACCTCAGCGTCCGCAGCTCTCCGCTTCTTCTCCTTCCAGAGAGCCTGGTTCTCCGGAGACGGGTCCACCTGGACGGCTGTCCTCGCTGCCCGGCGCTCTGCCACGGCTCGCACCAGCTCCTCGTCGAGAGCCCACGGCTGCGGGTCTGCGCGAGCGCCCCGCGGGATGTATTTCCCGCTCGCTCCGCTGATGGCACCGCTGAAGGCCGTGGCGACCCGCTCCACAGAGTCCTCCCCGGACATGGCACCAGCCGCCACCTCACAGGCAGCGGCAAAGCCAGCCCAGTCGGCCTTGTGGAAGGCCCAGCGCTCCTTCCTGATTCGGCGAGGGCGAGAGCCGGAGATAGCAGCCGTGATGACCTGAGGCAGATGATCGCTGCCTAGGTCTGTTCCGGCTTGCCACGTGCAGCGCCGCGCCAGGTTGCTGTGTGCCAGCGCGACGTCCGGGGTGCTGTGCTGCGCCTCCTCTCCGTAGCCGCTCCTTGTCGATGCGCCGGTGTTGAGGACCTGCCAGTCCTTCTCGCTGACCCAGTCATAGACGCGTCGGCCGACCTCGTCTGGGTTACTTGATGGGAAGCGTATATATGCTTGGAATTGCATCTGGTCTCAAACGCAGATTTTTTCGGTCAGTTCTTCTGGCTGTTAGTGCTTCCTCGCAAAAACTATCCGTCGAGAAATGCAGCTCACACACTCCACTGTAGTCCAGAGATATTGGCTTCAGGGGCTTTAGTACCTCTATCCACTTCTGACGACGGGTTTTCTCCACAGGGAATTTGAAAACAGACTTTTTCTGTTTATAACCAGATCTACACTTAAGAGCAGCACATTTACGTGCCATTTTAAAAATGTAGGCCTACTTAAATCTACATATCAGCGAAGTGTTAACAATTAAAACATGAATAAACTTACCAATATACTTCAAAAACTGACAGATGGACAGCAAGATGGACAGAGATGCCCTTCGATGTGCATAACAACCATGTGATAGATTTTATTTTCCAAAATTTCGCTGCATGTCGCGTCACGTTTGTCGTCTTAAGTGACACTTCCGTTCGGTTGCATATTTTAATCCTGCAGTTGCGATAGAGAACAGAGTCTACAAAAGATCAATTTTATTCAAAAATATTTAATTGTTTATGATTATAGAACTTTCATTCAAAAGATGAAGGCCAGACGAATCTGTAGATAAATTTTCGCGGCCATTCTACCAATTTAAAGTGATTTAAGAAGCTTGTAAAATTTTGCCTCAAATGTCGATTAGGCTAAGCCAGTGCACAGTCCATGTTTAAAGAGGTCTATGGAACGACCTAATAAAATATCTGAAGCCTGGCATTCGTGAGATGTTTTATGATTTTGTAATACCTTTCATAACAGCTGTTGTCATATTGTTTGTTGTTTGATATTAGCCATTTTTTCCACTTACCATCAATTAACCGTCTCGGAGTATTTCTCATTTCATGTGATATCCTGCTACAGGTTTTCTGCGTCCGCTGGTTGCCATGACGACCAAGCACTGTCTTCACCGGCAAGCGTTCAAAAACCACCTGTCGGACTTTGGTCTGACCAAGGCTGCGATAGCGTCTGTCAACCGGGACATGTACATTATGGAGAGCCTGACCTACATCACCACCGGACTTGTCGGTAAGGGGCGTGCCACACCGCGCGAGCGAACACACCGGCATGAGTAACACCGTCAACATTGCCACAATGTCAAACAAATCAGCGGAACGGCTTTCGCCGGGGGAGGAGCACGGCGAGCCTTTGCTTGTGCTGGCATTGCAGAGAGTGTTTATTTTTACTGTTCGGCACCGGGATTGAAATACGTTGCTGTTTCGGTCTGTTTCGATGGGTTATGGGTGTCTGCTGGGCCTCCGCCCCCGCTCCGCTCGATGCCACCCCTGTCCCCGTCCCTTTCCCTCCCACTCCCTGGTTACCGTCCCCGCGGTGACTGTACTGGCTCCCAGTTCGATGGGTGGGCAGCTAGCTCCCTTGATCTGACAACTGACGAGTCAGATATGCAGTTAACATGCTGGTAACGGCTGAATTAACACTCAGTACAGCGGACTGTTGTGTGTTCTGGAACATAGCAGTATGTTCATTGCTCAGGTACATGGACATTGTTTGACATCGTGTGAAACTTGATATTTGCTTTGCTCTCACGTTGTTGGTGCCAGTTTAAAACAGTTACAATATTTTGTTTGTGACTGGTGATGATATTTTGGGATCGGTCTAATCTATGCTGACATTTCTGCTAGATGAGTCACAAATCTTGTGTTTTAGTTTTACTCTAGCGGTATGCTTGGTGACAGTGGAATATATGGCAGCAAAATTTAGCCCAGCTTAAGACCTACCCCATGGCCATGACCTACCTCATGACCTGACCTTCATAGAACTGGCCTTTATCGGTGTCCTCCGCATTCCACAGACCTGACTCAAGAGCCCGACTACGTACTCGAAGCGGCCGTCTGCAAGGTGGTCTCATCGGAGCTGGCTCAGAATATCGTAGACCGCTGTCTGCGGCTGCTCGGCGACAGGGGATACTACAGGTGAGGAGAGCTTCGTGCGGGGATGTCACGAATCGGAGCTGGCTCAGAACATTGTGGACCGCTGTCTGCGACTGCTCGGAGATAGGGGATACTACAGGTGAGGAGAGCTTCGCGCGGGGATGTCCCGAATAGGAGCTAGCTCAGAACATTGTGGACCGCTGCCTGCGACTGCTCGGAGATAGGGGATACTACAGGTGAGGAGAGCTTCGTGCGGGGATGTCACGAATCGGAGCTGGCTCAGAACATTGTGGACCGCTGTCTGCGGCTGCTCGGCGACAGGGGATACTACAGGTGAGGAGAGCTTCGTGCGGGGATGTCACGAATCGGAGCTGGCTCAGAACATTGTGGACCGCTGTCTGCGGCTGCTCGGCGACAGGGGATACTACAGGTGAGGAGAGCTTCGTGCGGGGATGTCACGAATCGGAGCTGGCTCAGAACATTGTGGACCGCTGTCTGCGACTGCTCGGAGATAGGGGATACTACAGGTGAGGAGAGCTTCGCGCGGGGATGTCCCGAATAGGAGCTAGCTCAGAACATTGTGGACCGCTGCCTGCGACTGCTCGGAGATAGGGGATACTACAGGTGAGGAGAGCTTCGCGCGGGGATGTCCCGAATAGGAGCTAGCTCAGAACATTGTGGACCGCTGCCTGCGACTGCTCGGAGATAGGGGATATTATACAGGCAGGTTGTAGGTGAGAAGAGAGATGCGAAGGGGGATCGCACGGGTACTCAGCGTTTGTTCCTAGTGTGGTATATATGTAGATGGAATATGATGGATTACATTTGGTCGTGTCGCTCGCCTCTCGGGGTGGGCTATCTCACCCGGTCGGCTTTCAATATTTTCTGCCGCAACCTTCGTAGAGACGTGGGCTTCCTTTGGTAAGCGGTCCATGCCGCATGTGGAGCGAATGGTGGAGGCGTTGAAATCAATTTACTCTGGATACTGCTGGCGCCTGGCGGTGCTAAAGAGTTTGTGTGAGTTCTTGGCGAGCAGATGAGAGAGATGAAGACAGCATCGTCTTGCGCAATGAACGGCTGCGGTTGATATCACATTCCACTTCCCATTAGATTGCGAAATTCTTGTTTCAGGAATCGACATGACAGATGTGTTATTTCAGCAGCCGGGTATTTGTATCACGTTACCGCATTAGCTCCGTGACAGATTGTTCTGGTCATCGTGAACGGCTGCGCGCCTGTTCCTTTCAATCTGACCGGCTCTCTCACCATCCATCCTAGTCAGGCTAACTACCATCGTTAGACCTACTCTCGGTCTGTGGCGTCACCCGGCGGCCCTTGTCGCCGGAAAAGAACAACAAATTAGCGGCCAGCGGGGCCTGTGACGGCCGGCCAGTCGGACTTTAATCTGGGTCGAAAGTCATCCATCACCGGGCCTAATCGGACCGAGGCCCGCTTTCGTGACTCGAGATTGGTCGTAGTCGGAAACATTCTGTTGGCAAATTACGGATAGATAAATTTCGTCACGCCATATATTTGGTGGCGAGTTATGATCATCGGGAGTGTTGCTACCTGCCACGCCCTGTGTTGGTGCAGAGCCGTGTCAATGAGTAGGATGTCGGGTATGCAGCCAGTTCGATGCCAAGTCTAGCGCTGCAGTAAATATTTAACGTATCGTATGGCGCCAGGGTAGGGCCGAGCAGTGCTACTGGGTCCAGGTTTAACATCTGAACTGTCGTTACAGGTGCTAATCCGGATTTAATGTGTTGTTGCTTTGGCATGGTTTTGTCTGGGAAATTATTTTTTTGTCTGAAACATGTAAAGGTGTCGAGTGAGGTGAATAATGTTCTATCCGGACAGATGCTGTTGCCCAGGTGCAGCTGTGGTTAACAAGAACAACGTGCTAGGATGTTTCGGCACTGCGTGTATGGCTAGCTGTGCCGTGCAACTGAGATAGGCCTTATGTTAATATGGCATGCCGAGAGAAGACCGACTCCCCTCCCTCCTCACACGCTATCCAAAAGAGGCTGGTTAGGAGCAGGATTGACTCACGCTCTTTTAACAGAAATGAGACCCCCATCTCCCTTGTATTGTCCCAATTATACAGGTAAACTAAGCGTGACTCTCCCTCTCTCCGGCAGGCTCTCCTACTCTCCAAGGATATAGATAGAACTAACTAAATGTAGCTCCCCCACTCTCTCCAGCAGGCGAGAGGAGACTCCTACCGTCCCAGTGTACATTCAGAACAAAGTGTGATTCTTTTCCTCCCCGGTAGGCGAGAGGAGACGGGCGACACTGCCGAGCGGTACCTCAAGGAGACGCGGGCGGCGCTCCGCTTCACCGGCTCCAACGAGCTGCTCCGACTCTTCATCGCGCTCGGAGGTAAGGGCGGGTGCTGGCGGTAGCTCAGGTGTGCGGTACAAACTGACTGCCGCTCGTTTGGCTAAGTAGTGAAGTTAGATGGTGTTCTTGGTGAGGTTAGCTGTGGATTTTTTTTTTGGGGGGGGGGGGACAAACATTTTATTTCAGGCTATGCAGGTGAAAAGCACAACAAAATTCCAAAACTGGCGTATGATTGTTACGAGAGATGGAACATTTAGCACGACTTCTTGTTCACAACGCGGCGTTTCTTCAACACGGTGTTAGCGACCTTCTTGGAACCTCTGGACTTGCTGCGTCCACGGCTCGATCCTTTGCTTTTCGCGTTAAGTAGTAGGCTAGCTCCGGATCGGCCATAACGTCGCGGCTAGTCATGTTCTCGAGTCTTTGCTCCGTGAATTCTTGTTTCATTCGACTGAACAGTTCACGATAACGTGCCAAACGAGCGGATATACTAGGGATGTCATCTGATGGAGGTGGTGGAGAGTGACTGTTGGACTGGTGTGGACTGGTGTGGTGGTGGTGTAGCATAACTCTATGTTCTCGCCGACCTGTGACTCTGAGAGGGGTGCTGACCGGCTAGCGGTGTTATCCGGTGTGGTAGCCCACTCAGGGTCAACGTGGAGCTGGTGGCGCTCTGCCGGATCAGTGAGGTGCGTTTCGCCTGTTGCCTGCTTCAGGGGACCAGAGTTAAATGGCGAATGGAGGACACTCGCTGCATTGCCACGGACTACAGCCAGCGCTAGTCTTTGTCGCAGCCAGGACGATTCACGCGCGTCGCCGGTCACGCTGACTAAACGGCCACCTAAAAGGCTTATGAAGCGGCTTGTTGCCGGGCCGTAGACGCCACTAGTTTCAATTGCCACAGGCTGAATTTGAAACCGATCAGCCAGTCCCGAGTACTTGCGCATCTTTCTCTCCTCAGCGTCCCTGGCTGCAGCGCCGGCAGCAGCGGCGGTGGCCGGCAGATGGGAAGCCGCGTAGGTGTTGACGCAAGTGGCATCCCACACGAGCGATTTTCCCTCAGTAAATGGGAAAAGCGTCAAGCCGTCCGGCCGTTTCCCATCACCACGATCGATGCCGGTGGGCTCAAGAAGAGATGGCAAGCCGACAGTCTGCAGGGCACGCTTAATCACGTCATTGAGCGCGGTGTGGCGGGGATTACGTCCCGCGCTCAGACGGCAGGTCAGCGCATGGTGTCCCAAACTGTCGGCCAGGGAGCCACAACGACACCTATGTGGCTGGCAGACTTCAGCTCCGACGCGCAAAGCAACGGCGACTCTAAGGGTGGGAGGGTCCAGCAGCGTGCCCAGGCTGGCTGAGGGCAAGGCGTGCAACCATGCTCCGCTCTCCACCGTCCCTGCTGCGGAAAGACGGGCTTGCTCTACCTGGGTAGCGGTGGCCAGTAGGCTGCTTCGCACTTTGTCGGCTAGTACGCTGTCCCATGCACGCTGACTTCGTGCAGCGTCACCTGTTGGAGGTTCCGCTGGCTCAGCCGCCATCCTCCAGTCCGTCAAGGTAACTTCTTGTTCCGCCGACAGTCTGGCGCGTAGCGATCCGGGCAGCATCGACATCAGCAGCTGCATACAATGGTGAAGGGATGTTACGTAGCTTGGAAGTGCAAGGTCTTGCGTGCGTCTGATGCCTAGTCCGCCATATCTAGTCGGTAAAACTGCCTGTGTCCAACTGTCCTGGCTAAAGGCGACGTTAGTAATGCTACAAACTGCAGCGCGGAGCGTCTCGTCCAGAGGTTGCAGGAGATCTAGTCGCCTGTACACAGGGGCTGCTCGAAGGATATACTGGAGTTTCGGGATCCACAGACAATTTCTCAGAAGATAGAAGGCCGAGTGCGCATCTATGTGCTGTAGCCGGTCCACCATCCGCTCCAGGTCATTTTTCTTCTCCGCCATTACTTTCTCGGCAGCCGCATCCATCATTGGCGCTCCAAGCATCCTGGCTTCAATGTCTTTTACTAAGGCAGCCCCAGGGATAAATGTGTGCAGACGCTCTATAATAGACCGCGTTTGGTGCTCACTACAGCACCGTGGCAGGATGATCTCGCATTTTGTAGGGTTGACAACAAGTCCTCTAGCTGATAGTGCTGGAATCAACCGTTCTAGGTCACGGCAGACGGTATCGATGTCCCCACCGATAGATCCATCGTCTAAATACCACATATTGAAGGCCGATTTCACTTCTCTGGCTGCAGTGTCAATAGCTAACGAGAAGACTGCTGGACCGCAGGGATCTCCTTGCTGGAGGCCAGTAGCAGACGGAATCTTAAACGTGCCATAAAACAGTGGGGTCGGTTCCGAGTAAGCTTGCCATAGTAAACGATACAGCCCAGGCGCCCGTTCCCGTACGTCTCGGAGAAAACAGTCGCGTCGGATGGTATTAAAAGCATTCTTCATGTCAATCTTAACAAAAACCTCTTCTCCGCTCATGCACTCCATGAACCGCCGGGAAGCATGGACGGCCGCCTCACACCCACCTGGAGTGCCGTAGCCAAGCTGCACCGGACGTAGCTCTTCGCCAAACTCTGCCGCAAGGGGCTTCAACGCGACCTTGGTGGCCAGCCTTCTAAAAACAGAGCCGACCGCTATAGGCCTGAGGCCGCCGTCACGTTTTCTGAGCGCAGTTAAACTAGCGCCAAAGAAGGCGGGACATGCAAAGGCTGGCAGCTCTCCCAAAAGGGCCTGGTTTACTAGGGCTGTGAGTGCGGTAATCAAGCGCACCCCGGCCTCGGTGCTGTGGATTGATTGGCATCTTGTTTTCAGTCTGTTTTGGCTTTGCACCATCTACCTACATTGACTATCATCGTTTCCAGCTATCATATGTGCATCATCTGAATTAATGTCTTCGCGGACTGCACGAAGATTTAATGTTATTTATATAAAACAATTATTTTTGATTTTTGTTGCGGATCTGTCTGAAAGGGTCGTGGAACAGTCGCCTCACACATTTTCAACACTTGCTAGACAACCGGCATTCCCATAACGTTACGTTCCCTCTCCCGCAGGCCTTCAGGAAGCCACGCCGATGTACGCCGAGGAGGTGACCAAGATGCGCAACCCGATGCTGTTCCCGGTGCACGTGCTGAAGCGACTGGTGGGCGGTATGAGGAACAAGGCTCGCTCTTCGCATACACCTCTACACCTGTACGGCTGTCTTCATCCGTCACTGAAGGTTAGCGAACCGATAGAGATAGTGGATCGATAAAGATGGTGGGCTGATCGAGGTAGTGACTTGGTAGGGACATTGGAAGAACAGAGATAGTGGACCGATAGATATAGCAGGCCAATAGAGACAGGGGCCCAGCTCTACTGCACCTCAATTTTAGGCTAACGAGCTGGAGGGATGTGTTCACTTGTTCGTCACTTACATCCCCTCATCAGTCGGCATGTTCAGGCCCTGACTCCCCTCCCCACTGTCAGGTCCAGGCTGACGAGCTGGAGGAGTGCGTGCACCGGTTCGCCGACCTGACGCTGGAGGCGCTGGAGCGGTTTGGTGCCGACCTCATGAACCAGCAGCCGGTGCTAACCTGGCTGGCAGAGAACGTCTCCGACATCTACGTGGTGACGGCCGTGCTGGCGCGCGCCTCGCGCAGCTACTGCATCGGGTTGCGAGACGCCGAGACTGAGGTATGTGTGCAGTGGGATCGGGTTGTGGATATAAAATACCAGTAATAAACCGAATATATTCAATATTCATGCAAATTTATGTCATATTAAAAGCATAAATAATGACTCGAGTATGTATTCCCTGTATTGTTTGTATTTATCTATCCTGGATTTTCGTAGCTACACTCAGCAGAAATGCAAGTAAGTTAGAAACTTGTTTTCCCAATTTACGCCTGATTTGTAGGACAACATGGGTTTCCATGTGACAGCTGGTCCCGGTAATCCGTGACGGTTGGTGTCACCATGGTTCAGTGGATAGTTGTGCTTTTGTGACAGTCCGCCCGTGTCATGACAGTTCGAGCCATGTGACAGTTTAACCAGGGATGCGGAGCCGGAGCCGGAGCCGGAGCCGCCGGAGCCGGCATATTTTGCCCGGAGCCGGAGCCGGAGCCGCCAAAAAAGGGGGCGACTCCGGCTCCTTTTTATTTTTTGAAGAGGAAAAAAGTAATTGACCTAGTTCGGTTTGACAGTACAAGGCAGTAAAACATATCGTACTATTGGTCTCAATATAAGTGCCCAGGCGACCTGTAGTTTTGATGCGGTGAATACCCTCACCCTCGCCACAATGCGAGTGGGGGTGGCGCTGGCTGGGAGGAGGGGTGCACTCGGCCCGAGTTGTGGCGAGGGTAAGGGTATTCACCGCATCAAAACTACAGGTCGCCTGGGCCCTTATCTTGAGACCAATAGTACGTCATGGGCCATCAAGTGCATGAAAAAGCCGAATATCCCCAGTATCCCACAGTACGCAATCAACTTCCTGTCTGCTCCTCCCCCCCCCCCCCCTCACGTCTACTGCATCCCCAGAACATGAGGACCGGTCATCAGGTGACGGCCATTGTTTTGAAGCCAGTGCAGTGGACTGCGACTCCCAGCACCGTCTCTTCCCCCCACCCCCACCCCCACCCCCACCCCACCCCCCAATGCAGCCGAGATGGGTGTCAGCTTACGATGGTTCAGTGAACTCCGATTCGCGGCGACTGCGTTTCCAATGCCATCGCTTCCTAGTCCTTTGTTCTGCCAGTTCTCTCCGAGGTGCGTTTGCGCGGGGACGCGGTGAGCCGGTCATGGCAAGAGTAGGTAACGCGTATAACCAATCCAATTTTTCTTATATCAGGGCCAGGCGGCGCCCCTGATATGCGTCCGCCCCGACCTAGACCCGCTGCCCCGCCCTTCTGATCTGGTTCACCCGTACATAATGTCTGAGCGGCGATTGGCGCGATCAGCTGGCGCCGCAGCTGCTGGTATTTTTCTTCCACCCGTATTTAATTGATTGCATAGGGGATGTACTGAGTCGGAGCCGGAGCCGCCGGAGCCGGAGCCGCCGGAGCCGGACCATTTTACTCGGAGCCGGAGCCGGAGCCGCCATAACATTTCATCCGGAGCCGGAGCCGGAGCCGGAGCCGATTTTTTTCTCCGGAGCCGGAGCCGTTTGAAATTTCCACGGCTCCGCATCCCTGAGTTTAACCCGCGCACCGACGGGGGGGGCGGATATCCGCCCCCCCCCCCCTGAGGTTTTTTCCCGGATAGCGGGAAAACCGCGGCGCGTAGCGCCGCGAAATTTGGTATGACTATTCTCTCATCAATTTTACACATGGTGTGCAAGTTTGAACCTCCTAACTTTTAAGGTCAGGTCACCAGGTCACTTTGAATGACCCAACCTCAAGTCACTTTTTTGCAACTTTGTCACCGTGCCAGAGCTACAGTAGATGTCGGAGGCCTTTGAAAGTCGCAGGATGTTATTAGGTCATTAGTAGCTACAATTTGTATATCTCGGAATTTTGATGTCGGTGACCTAAGGTCAGGTCAATTTCGCGACCTCCCCATTATAAGTCAATGGGGGAAAAATCAACTCCCTGTTTTTACCACTAAAACGGGTCGGAATGGCCCCATATACCATACATGACTTCACATACGATCAACCTTCACTACCTTGAGGTCTGTTTTGCTGTTGGGCAGCTGTAAGGTCATGTGACGTCATCAAAGGTCACCAAAGGTTTTTTGCCAATAACTCCTTACAGGAACAAGATACAGCCGCGCGGATGGTCTCATTGTGTTCAGCTCGTCAAGACGCATCGAATGATATACATGATGACCTCGAGGTCACGTGACCTGAGGTCAACCTTTGACCTTGACCTTTCGAGGTCAACATATATATCATTCGATGCGGATTGACGAGAGGATCACGATGATGCCCTTAGTTTGTTCCTATCTTGACTACTTCGAAAGTTATTCGAGAAAACCCCTCTCCATATCTAGCGCCGCCATTTTGACTTTTTCGACCCCTGTGACGTCATCTTTGACCTGACCTGAAAATGACCTTTGTAAAAATTGTAGACCTTGTCCGTGCGTATCCGATGCCGTTTACCGCTTGTCGCTATCTTGCTTCGTTCTCGAGATCTCAGGGGGGGGGGGGGCGGTCATCCGCCCCCCCCCCCGTCGGTACTAAGTTGGCGCAGACCCCCGTCGGTGCGCGGGTTAACCCATGCGACAGTTGGTCCCGTGACAGTTCGAGGCATGTGACACTCGGCCCGTATGACAGTTGTGTTAGTGTGACGGTCACCTCCCTATGACAGTCAGTCCGTATGACATACGGACCGTGCTGACCGATTTAGCGTTCTCCCGCCTCTCTGCTGTCTGATTAAGGAGCCGTGAATCAAACATCGTCTGACGTCCGGCGGCGGCGGGGCTCCTGGTTAGAGAGGATACACGGCGGTCGGGACGATGGCGGTCCCTGGGCACGGCGTGGTGGCCGGCCAACACAAACACGGGGCCGGCGGGACGGGACGGGGCGGCGCTACCTGACCTGCCCTCTGACCCGACCTGACCCGGCGGGCCGTCAGCTGTGTATAATCCATCCCAATCCGACCATCCTGCTAGGAATGGGGGTGATTCGTTGGATACGCACTCATCCTACTCGAGACGGCGCCAGGCTTATTGGTTTCAGTCGAAATCCTCGGAGCAGCCGCAGCTCTGGCGTCTCTGTTGTCTTGCATCACCGTGCTGTCGTTTGCGGTTGATATTTCAGGGCTTTCCGGCTGGGCTGTGCAGCATTTCATGGGGGTTTCCACTTTACCCTGCCAAGCGCCTTCCGGGAAACGTGCGCTGTTTGCAGAGAAAGAGCGTGGCTGAGTCAGTGGGCTTGACGCCACCCCGAGATTTGGTCGCCTCCCTTCCAGCCGTTGTGACGCCGTTGAACACAGACCATCGCGGTTGGTGGCGTCGCAAATTGCAATGTGCCGCCTTTTCTCATCTGTTAAAGACCAGCTTAACTCCCCCGGCGAGAAAGAGGGGGGACCTTCCTTATCCCACGGCACAATGTCTAGCATTTCTCACTTGCGCATATTTGACCGCTCATGCTGGTCCGGCTGGCCCTCGCAAGCATATAATGCAGTCTGATATTTTGCCTGACCTCCCTCATCCGCGGCGTTAAACCTTTCCTCGCTTGCAGTGAAAGCAGCATCTCATTTCGTCAACCCGCTCTGACCTCTCCCCTCCCTCTCTGCTTCCAGATCGCTCTGGCCACCTCGGCGGTCTATGGGACGCATCTCGACCTGACCTCACCCTCCCTCTCTGCTCCCAGATCGCTCTGGCTACCTCGGCGGTGCAGGGGGTGCAACTCGACCTGACCTCTCCCTTTCCTCTGCTTCCAGATTGCTCTGGCCACCTCGGCGGTCAATGGGTCGTAGCTCGCTCTGACCTCTCCCTTTCATGTGCTTCCAGATCGCTCTGGCTACCTCGGCGGTCTATGGGTCGTAGCTCGCTCTGATCTCCCCCTCCCTCTTCATTGCTAGATCGCTCTGGCCACCTCAGCGGTGCAGGAGGTGCAACTCGATCTGATATCCCTCCTTTTCTGCCGGCAGATCGCTCTGGCTACCTCGGCGGTCTATGGGTCGTAGGTCGACCTGACCTCTCCCCTTTCCTCTGCTCCCAGATCGCGCTGGCCACCTCGGCGGTACAGGGGGTCGTAGCTCGCTCTGACCTCTCCCCTCCCTCTCTGCTTCCAGATCGCTCTGGCCACCTCGGTGGTCCACGGGTGCAACTCGCTCTGACCTCTCTCTCCCTTTCCTGTGCTTCCAGATCGCTCTGGCCACCTCGGCGGTGCAGGTGGCCTCGGAGCGGATGCAGCGGAACGCCGGCTACCTGGACCGGGCGCCGTTCGGCTCCCCCGACTCACCGCTCATCAAAGCAGCCGACATAGTGCTCGAGAGGGGAGGGTACGCGTCATCCCACTCACTGCAGAGGACATACTGAGGGGAGAGAGTGGGTAGTGCTCTGGGAAGAGAGCGGAGTGCGGGGGGGGGGGGGTAGGAGAGTGAAGAGGGACAAAGAACACTGATGTGCTGACCGTTGGGTGTGATTTGGCACATGATGTCGGCCGGAGAAATCCTCGTGCTGCTGTGATTGTATGTGTGAGCGGTGTGATGATGATATGACATCGGGCCTATGCGAGATTGTGTGTCGTTGCGAATTTGTTGGCTAGTCCACAGGCGTCCTTTGTGAAGAAAGGGCCTTGTGTGCTAATCGCCGTCACTGACTCGGCAATCAAATAACATTGTTCTTTTGCGATTGAATCCATGCGGGTGCGTACTGCGGACCGGATTTTGTAGCTGCGTGTGCAGAGTTTACAGGTGTTTCACCAGCTGCCGAGCTATGGCTGCTGTCAGTGATGTCTGCCGCACACACCGCTGCCGTGACATGTCAGCGGCTTCGTGACATGTCAGCGGCTTCGTGACAGGTCAGCGGCTCCGTGACATGTCAGCGGCTCCGTGACATGTCAGGGGTGCGTGCCGGCCAGCCGGTGACCGGTCTCCTCAGGGTCAGCTGGCCGGCCGTCGGCCACCGCTCGCCGCTCTGTTGTGATACCATTTGTCCAATAAAACGATCGTCACGTATGCGCGTCGTGTTAGTCTGCGCCTTACCATCTGTGCGAGGTGTGAAAGCGGGAAGGGAGTCGCATCAGCCACCAGGTATTTGGAGTGCTGTAGGTCAGCCTCCAAGAAGTCGTATTTGTTATTGTATTATCATGTTTATCTTGTGGTGATGCTAGCTTATACCGGTTAGAAATCCACGGGACGGTAAACCCGCTGCCAGACTTGTAACTGGATCCGCCAGAGGATGTATTCAAGTTTTTCCAGTACTAGTCACTAGTCAGTATTGTTTCCATGGTTCATGGAATGAAAACGGCCTCGAACATGGGTGTCCTAATCTAGCCATACATTTGTTGGACTCAGCCGGTATTAAGTGCAGCTAAAAAACGGTTAGGGAGGAGGCGTGGAACCCTTAAAACTGACAAATGTGTGAACTTAATTGGTCTACGGCTGTCGTTTGGGAGACCAATCATTTATATCTCTAGGCAGCGGGCTTTGTTGTGGAATACCGCCGTCCAAGGCTCCAGAACGGAGGTCCGTCCATGACCTCGTAGTTCCGGAGCCGAGGTAACGCAACTTGCTCAGCTCGGCCGTGGTTTATTCACGGCATATTGCCGTCGGCCGATGGTTGAAAAGCATTGAAAGATAAAAAAACTTTTTCACCGGAAATCCGCAGGTGGATCCCGAGGTGGGGTGGGACTGGAAGGGAAGGATTGTTCGGGATTGTTCCTTGCAATCCTCTCCCTCCCCACCCCGAAGGACCCGAATTGGACGAAATTTCGCTGTTTTATGACAGACACAGACCGTCAACTAGGAACCTCTTATGGGTATTAATTTGCTTTGGGTGCTCAGGTCCGTACAAGGAAGCAAAGCCGAAGGATTAGTTTAATTTTGTCTGCGATTGCCCATCGGAGAAGCGAGAACAGAACCTTTTTGGTGAGCATGTCCGCCCTCCGGGCTCCCGGTCCGCAGCAAGGCGTCCGCAGCGTCCCAAAACAGGCTGGGTTCCTGAATCCACCAATACTTCGCTCCGAAAGACCACTGTTATTTTTTTATTCCAATGATATACCTAATATTGTGTGAAATCCAGTGTGGGAATTCGGGTGTAGGTATGGCGTATCAGAATCAGTGTGCCCAGTGCCCACTGCCCATCCAAGACGAATGGCTGCAATGTTGCAGCTTCTTTGGGAATTATTGGGCGCCTGAACCGAAAAGGAAAAAAAGAAATTTAATTGCAACTCTGCGGCTAATAAAATTTTGCCTCGCTGTAATTAAAAAAAAAACAGGCCATTTGAATATTTCTCCGAATAAAACTTTGACTAAGTAGCTAAAATCCTGGATGTCTGTTCCCGCCTCCCGCCATGTTTGTTTACATTTACAAAGCCACGTGAGAGAGTGACGGGTGCGGCGCGCATCAGGTTCCCAGCATTTGCGTGCTTGTGATCGGTGAAGCATCGTATTAGTGACTTGTGACGAGTGGAGAACTGAGTCTTGGACCAGCGCTTTTGACTGTTTTTTTTTGTGAGTGAACTAACTGGACGCGATGCCTCCACTTCCTGCGGCCGTGTGGCGGAGTCAGAATGAATCGCGTGGGTGGATGTGCTCGACTTTCGGTCTGCTTCTGCCTTCTTGGTCACCAATCACCATTTGCAAATTGAAATGCTGGAATGGATGGCACCAGACAGGTAAGCGAGCGTATGGCATACGCAGGCGCGCACCGAGGATTTTTGAATGGGGGTGGCACGACGTGCAAAATGGCCCTCCATGCCGAAGGGCCCCGGGCCCCAGCCTGAGCCGAGAAAGGCAAAGCTGCCCTATCCCGCGCCCCGTAGGGCTATCGGCGGACCCTACCACCCGTAGGGGGGGGGGGGGGCGTTTCGGCCCCCTAAGATCTCGGAAATTTACCGGCTGATTTTCAAAATTCAAACGGCGTTCGATAGCCCCACCCGGGAACTACCTTGTGACCAAATTTCATTGACCTAGGTCAAACCGATGACGTCACAGGTCAGGTCAAAGGTCGGATTTTTACCGTTAACAGGCATTTCAAGAAATGTGTTGTGAAATCGAGTAAATTGGTAATTTATTGAAAACCATCGATGGCACATTGTTCGTCAAACACATACTTTGCTATCTGAGGTCACTGATACCAGGTCAGGTCACAGCGAGGTCAGGTCACTGAGGGTCACAATATGAAAGTGTCGTGTGATACATGTTTTATGGTCCATTTTACATGACAAATGCGATTATGTGGGTTAGGCAGCCTTTGGGGCCAGCCTAGGTCACGTTTTGGTGAAGGTCAGGTCAAGGTCAGGTCAAATTAGGTCAAATTTCAAAGTTGATATTTTTGCATAAAATGGGTATCGATTCGATGCAGCTCGTCACGGGGAGTCTCATGGTGGTCTTTGTTTTGCTCTACGAGGTCTAGAATTGCCAAAAATTGAGTTTGAAAATTTGACGCCATCATTTTTGAACAGTTTTTTCGCTATAACTTGGCGGCCCAAAAACGAGGTATCGATCTGAAATTTGGTATGTAGATAGAAGACGGTAGGTCCTATCACATATAGGTATTCCGGTTTTTTCGAAACTCAAAAACTTTTTGGATTTTTTGGCTAATAAATCCAAAAAAATGCTTTTTTGATTTTTGGGGGTCAAAACTCAAAAATTTCAAAAATCCGAGATAGCAGTTTTGTAGCCCTGTCAATTCTACACCTTTTACGTCTGATCATGTTTTTGTATCTTCAAAGCTCTAGGCATGACAGGTCTTCTCGCAAAGGTCTTTTTTCGGTCGAAAATGACAGAACATGACGTCATTCTGACGTCATTTGTGGCCAACCTATCATAGCCTCTGGGAAAAGTTTTGGTCACAATGTGTGAAATTGATGCCCAAAGGGGTCCTGAAAGTTTCGTGGCGATATCTAAAGCCGTTTAGGAGATATTGACGGAAAAGAACAGGGAAGCCGTTTCGCCTCCCCCCCCTACGGGGCGCGGGATCTATCCCGCGCCCCGTAGGGGGGGGGGGGACGAAACTCATATGGGCCTGTTGGGGCCCAAGATTGACCCTCCTGGTCTTTTCGATCATCATTTCATCATTTCATTTTAGGCGGTTTAAAGATTAGGGGTACCTTTGAGGACCATTTGACTTTGACTCAAATGCCCCCCCCCCCTTTGTGCGCCTTTGTGCATGCGCTTTAGGTACTCTTTAGTTCATTAAACTTCCTGAAGGCTCAGTCTGTTGAGTTTGAACATGGCTGCAGGGAAATGGGAGTGTCGTGATTTGATGTGCACCAAAGTTGACATTGAAAAGACCGTGTTTGATGGATGAATGATTGGTCAAATATGATTGTGGTTTCGTGGTGTCGGTTCATCATTCTGTTGCGGCGGATTGGTGGCGATCAGCGGTTGCCAGCGTCCGGCGTCCGGCGTCCGTAGCCCGGGGCGCCGCGGACGTCACCTTGACCTGGCGCCCGCCGGGGCGGCGCGCCGGGTCACGGTCGGCGCCGGTCGGTAGACGGGTCGCGGCCTCGCGGCCGTGACCGAGGCGGGGCGCGCCTACATGGTCCATGGATAATCTTGGGAGAGCCGGCCAAGTGTCAACCGGACACCACCGGACATGGAACGGATATTAACGGATGACAAACGGACGTCCAACGGAAACAAACGGACTGCAGTGGTGCGGGAACTTCTTCCAGACTGGGGGGGGGGGCGGAGGGGGGCTGCATCATAATAGAGATCAACCTAGGGTTCCCCCAAATCTATTTTTCTCACCGGTTCAACGAAAAAAAAGAAAACATTTTCAAAAAAGTGAGGTTTTCCGTCTCAGCTGAGTGAAGCAACTACCGTTTTGGCAACCTGGAATAAAGGTTTTAATCTGCCAACTGAGTTGCCGAGCCAGTGAAAGGTGGATTTTTCGCTTACATGCTTTCTTTCTTTATTTATTTATTTATTTGACATCGTAGGCTCATTCCACAAAAATGGCTATTCCTGAGCCAGGGTCGCAATATAAAATGATGGGTGTCGTGGGAAAAACATACGCACGCACGCACACAGACAGACATTCGTTCGCAGTCACTCTCTCACAAACGTGTCGTCATGAAGTATTGCTAACGGTCGGCCGCCTGTTGTCGCAACAAGTGCCGGCGCAACTCTGCCTTGAACGCGCGCAGGTTCAGGTCACACATCGCCGGTGGTAGGCTATTAAAAGCTGTCACGGCGGTAAAGAGGAATCGTCTCCTCCCGGACTCCGATTTGATTCTGGGCACATGTAGCATATCTATCTGTCTTGTGGCTCGCTGATGTACGTCACGTCTATGCACTATTCTACTCGCGATTGACTCGGGCTGCGCAGTGACCAGCATACGTTTCAATAGGGTCAGCACATGGTATAAGTACATGTTACGCGCGGACAGCCATCCCAGGTCATGCAGGACGTCACTAACATGATCAAACTTCCGACGCCCCGATATCACACGGGCTGAGAAATTCAGCAGCTTTTGCAGACGTGCGAGCTGAGTGGTATTGCAGGAGCCGTACACACTGATACAATAGCGGATGAGCGAAATGACTAGACTTTGGACTAGGGTGGTGAGCGTCGAATGCGGTAAAATATGTCTAGAGTGACTCAATCCGATTAAAATACCTGTGCAGCGCCGGACGACATCATCGGTATGGGCGGCAAACGACATACATTGGTCAAATACGACACCCAGATTCCGCACCGCGGGAGAGCCGGAGACAGTGGCGCCCATAAAGTTGATGCTGACTGTTGGAAGCTGCCGGAGATTTTGACGAGTGCCGAGAACAATGAGCTGAGTTTTCTGAGCGTTGATTCTTTGTGACCCACAACCCCTAATTTGGGGAGGGCAAGCTGCCCCAACGGTTCCTGGCCTCATAAAAAGTTGTGTGGCACCACCCCCACGGCCCCAGAGTTGTGGGGGCAAGCTGCCCCCATTGCCCCCCCCCCCCCGGTTCCCGCGCCACTGAAGCCGGTGACGATGAATTGCCACATCGTTACCTACCCACTGACA